ATATATATATATATATATATATATACACACGCTATAAGTGTACCCCGTCTCAATCAATATCAATTTTTTATATTATAATAAAACTTATATTTGAGAAATATTTAAAAAGTGCAATTATGTTGAAATGATTAACTGTTTATTTTATTTAGTTATACAATAATGGAAGAAATTGCCTCTCCCATAAAAATACTTAATGAACTCAATCAAACATGTAACTTTAAATTGATTCCAATTTATAATTCAATTACTTAAGTTTCACAAGTTATTATATTTCTTTTAAAGTTTCAGCAAAAACAAATAATTTTGAAGACTTAAAGCTTTTAAAGTAAAGCTCTTTTAAGAACTTTGATTTCGCAAAAGATTTAATAAATGAACCAACAACTACATTATACCTCTGTGATATTTCTTTGGCAATAACTTTGAATTTGCATGAACACAAAGTAGCAAAATTATTAATCACATAGCTATTTGAATAAGCGAATGATTCTTCTCACATTCCATTACAAACCAGAGTACGTATAGAATTCACATTTTATTATTCTATTAGATTTGATTGATAAAAATTTTTACAAATAAAATACAGGTAATTTTTTCAGTCCAAGTAAAGAAAGAAATCATATAAGGCAAATCAAAGGGCAATGGGCATGTACCTTGCATTAATGAGAATAAGCTTTTTAAAAGTACATCAAATATATTAAAAATGTATTTACAGTATTAACATAAAAATTACAACAACAACAATAACCCAGTAAAATTTCACTAGTGGGGTCTAGGGAGGGTAGTGTGTACGCAGACTTTACTCCTACCCCGAAGGATAGAGAGGTTGTTTCCGATAGAACCTCGGCTGAAGAAGACGAAAAGAGGATTATCATCTATAAACCTTAGAAATAAATAACAACATCACAAGAATATAGAGAAAAAGCAAAACAATTAGTAGATAAAGCCCGAAACTGAGAGAAACGAAAGAGTAATGTGAACTCAACATTAACCACTAGCAGTCTAAGACAAAATCCTAACAGACTAACCTCACTCTGGTGCGCCGTAGGAATATGCATACCTACCTCCTATCCTACGACCCTAAGGCTCGACCTCCACCACTTCCTATCTAGAGTCATGTCCTCGGTAATCTGAAGCCTCGTTATGTCCTGCCTGATCACCTCTCCCAAATACTTCTTAGGCCGCCCTCTACCTATCACTGCGCCCACCAAAGCCAGTTGCTCACACCTCTTTACCATGACATCTAGACTTTTCCTCTAAACATGCCCGAACTATCTGAGTCTAGCTTCCTATAGCTTGTCATCCATGGGAGCCACGTCCACCTTCTCCCGAATATCTTCATTCCTAATCATATCCATCTTAGTGTGCTCGCACATACACCTCAACATCCTCATTTCTGCTACTTTTACCTTCTGGATATGTGAGTTCTTAACTGGCCAACATTCAGCCTTATATAACATAGTCAGTCTAACCACCACTCTATAAAACTTACCTTTGAGTATCGGTGGCACTTTCTTGTTACACAAGAACCTCCACTTCATCCACCCCACCTCTATGCGGTGAGTGACATCCTCGTCAATCTCCCCACTCCCTGTATAACCGACCCAAGGTACTTGAAATTAAACTGCCAATCTTGGGGATGACTTGTGATCAATCCTGCTACCGACCCAAGCCTAACGTCCAATCATGCTACCGACGGCTCAAAGTTGAACTTGCACTCTAGGTATTCTGTCTTAGTCTTGCACAAGTTCAAACCCTTATACTCAAAGGCATGTCTCCAAGACTCCAACCGCTCGTTGATGTTATCTCTCATCTCATCAATCAGAACAATGTCGTCAGCAAATAACATACTCCATAGTACCTTCCCTTGAACATGGTATGTCAGAGCATCCATCACCTGGGCAAATAGGATGGGTTGAGTGCAGATCCTTGGTGTAACCCGATAACAACCAAAAAATGCTCTGAGTCGCCTCCCACTGTCCTAGCCCGAGTCTTAGATCCATCATACATGTCCTTAATCACCCTAATGTAAGCAACCGACATTCCTTTTGCCTCCAAGCATCTCCATAGAACCTCTCTAGGAGTCTTATCATACGCTTTCTCCAAATCAATAAACACCATGTGAAGATCCTTCTTCACATCCATGTAATGTACTGCTCCACCAACCTCCTAATAGGATGGATAGCTTCCATAGTAGAACGCCCCTGCATGAACCCGAACTGGTTATCTGAAATAGACACGATCCTCCTTACCCTCACTTTAACTACCCTCTTCCAAACTTTCATGGTATGACTCAGTAATTTGATACCATTATAGTTATTACAACTCTGGATATCACCTTTGTTCTTGTACAACAGAACCACCATACTCCACTTCCATTCCGGCATCCTCTTTGTCCTGAAAATAACATTAAACAGCCCAACCACATCAAACATGCTCTACCCACACACCTCCAAAATTCTACTAGAATCTCGTCTGGCCTGGTAGTTCATCCCATGCCCATCTTACGCATAACCTCCACGACCCCCACAACCTTGATGCGCCTACAATACCTAAAGTCACAGTGACTCTCGGAATGCTCCAATTCACCTAGCACAATATCTCGAACCCCTTCTTCATTCAGAAGTTTATGAAAGTAGGTCTGCAATCTCCGCTTAATCTGCTCCTCCTTCATCAATACTCTATCGTCCTTGTCTTTGATGCATCTCACTTGGTCCAGATCCTGATCCTTCCTCTCTCTTACCTTGGCCAGCCCGAATAACTTCTTCTCCCCGCCTTTGTCCCCCAGTTCCTTGTATAACCGAGCAAAAGCCGTAGTCTTTGGCTTTCGTATCGCCATCTTTTCCTCCTTCTTAGCAGCCTTATACCTCTCATGTTCGCTTTTCTCTCCTCCTCGCCATTGCTACCTACTAACTTCAGGTACGCCACATTCTTTGCTTCTACTTTACCTTAGACCTCTTCATTCTACCACCAGTCGCCTTTGTGTCCACCAGACTAGCCTGACGAGACCCCTAACACCTCTCTTTCCACCTTCCTTATACAATCCTTCATTGTAGAACACATATTGCTCGTGCCCCCACTACTCCTCCAGGCTCCCATAGCCAATAACCTCCCCTCCCCAACTCCTAAGCTTTATCCTTAGTCAAGGTACCTCACCTGATCCTCGGTCATCCTCGTACAAATCTCTTCTTTCTCCTTATCATTATACTGATATCCATTACCAAGATCCTATGCTGTATCATGAGGATATCTCTCTGGATAACCTTGCAATCCTTGCACAACTCTTTGACACATCACCTGAGAAGGAGATAGTCAATATGAGTCTTCTCAATCGTACTTTGAAAAGTAACCAAATGCTCTTCCCTCTTGAAAAAACTCGAGTTCGCAATCATCAGCTCAAATGCCTTAGCAAAATCCAATAACGAAGTACCTCCTCCATTTTGATCCCCAAAACCGAAGTCGCCATGCACCTCGATATAACCGCGTGCAGACGACCCAATATGTCCATTGAAATCCCCTCATATAAATAACCTCTTGGCAGGCGGAATATTATGCACAATCTCATCCGGCCCCTCCCAGAATCGAATCTAAACTTCATCATCCAAGCCTGTGTGTGGCGCGTAAGCGCTAACGACATTTAGGGTACACTCTCCAACAACCAACTTAATAGTCATTAATAATACCATTCACCCGCCTAACCTCTACCACAGACTCTCTAAGCTCCCTATCTACCAAAATACCCACTCCTTTCTTACCCTTCAGTACCCATCCGCATCATTCGCCCTCGATCATACCCGCCTAGTCTCCTAGACACAGGCTATATTTACCTTCCTCTTCTAGAGGATCTTCGCCAATATCAGGCCCCAAATCTGGGCCTAGACGTAACATGGCACCCGGTACCTGACTACTGTGACCGAGCGAACTAGCTGGTTGACTGAATCTATATGTGATATCATAACATACTGAATGTGAAAGATAAACTAACACATGTTGATATACTAAAAGTCTAAATGATATAAATTAATGTTCGAAAACACTAACATAAACCTAAAGTATAACTGTAGCCAATATTGGTTAACATGAAAAGCCCGTGACTCTATCTTACTATTACTCTAGTCTATGGAGCCTCTAATGAAGTAATGAAAATAATGATTGTTTGAAAATACTGAAGGTTGTAAGGTAATGATAATGCCCTGAAAGAACTGGGGATCATAAAATAGCTGGTACGAGAATCCTAACGCTCTGAATTATCAACCTGTAAATCATTACATGCATCGTGTGATGCAGGCCCAGGGCAAAAGGGACTTCAGTACATTTGAATTGCACAGGTATATAAAGAAACTAAAAGAAAGAACTATAAATGCCAAAACTGATACTAAGCTGATAAATGAGAACTGATAATTGATAACTGAAATGATAATTATTGAAACTAAAACAGAAATGATAATTGATAACTGAAAACTGAAATGATAACTGTTGAAACTAAAATTGAAATAATAACAGATAACTAAAAACTAAAATGACAACTAAAAATTGAAAACTGATAACTCAACTGAAAAAAGGAAGTAAGGATATGAATACCCCCTCTTCTAAATAATGAACCACCTGTTTATCTAAATAAATAAACTGCGGCCTCAGGCCCAATATATATGTGCACAAATTGCGGCCTCGGGCCCAAGTATATGTATACAAAACTACGGCATCAGGCCTAAAGATGCATAAAGTATAAACTGCTGCTTCAGGCCCAAAAATACATAAAGCATTAACTGTAGCCTTATGGCCAAATATGCATAAGCACTAACTGCGACCTCAGGCCCAAATATGTATAAAGTATTAACTGCGGCCTTAGGCCCAAATCAGGGGTTCAACATTCAGGGATTTAAAATCAGGAACTGAGAATCATACTACAATACATGATACTGAAATACTAAATCATATTGAGTTACATGATACCAGAATGCTGAATAGAACTAGTCTGAGACTTGTATTCATGAGCTGATTATGAAAACAGAAACTTCAACTATATATGACATGCTGAGTAATCTAGAATAAAGCTCATGGGCATTAAACCCAAGTCTATACTGATTACACACTGATTTCACAACGTTCAGAATGAAAGTCATGAACGAGTTACGAAGCTAAAGAATAGAAGTTCTGCAACTATTTGTTTGATTTAGAGGCTAATCTTAAAGAAAAAGCTGCAATTGTGGCTTGATTTGATTTCAGAGCGAGGTAAGTGTCGTGGTTAACCTTGAATTAAAGGATTAGGACTTTTTGGTCTATTTGCTACGGGTTTTATGTGTGAGGATAACGTATATGTGAGGTGACTAGTACATATGCGTTGTTATTAGGTTAAAGCATGCGGGTGAGAATTATTTCTTTGTACTAGGTTGTATCATTGACTATGTTTTCCATGCTAAGATAGATTAATACTTCTTTAATTATTCGCTTCGTATTTATTATTTATTTTAAAGATGTTGAGAGTTTTGGAAGTTGGGTTTGTTATCATGGCACTATAATTGAAGTGAATTACTACCCACCTTGCATTGTATTTTTGAATTGTATTGTTGCTTTGCGAGAAAGAGTGAAAAACAAGAAGGGTGTTGTTGTGCTTTATTTGCATTCTTTATCATTTATTAAGAGGTTGTGAGGATTAAAGCACGAAGGGTGATGTCGTGCATTTGATTACTTATCATCATTTATCATACTAGGCAAGCCGACAACTCACAAATAACAGGCATCTTTAAATTTGGAAACATCATAATATAAGTTTTAGAGTAAAATCTCATAAATATTGATAGAAAACACCGCAACTCAATAGAATTTCCCAAAATGCGGGTGTCACTAAGTACATGAGTATCTATACAATAACATGTGTGACTACTGAAACACTGTCTAGGAAAGTAGAACAGTATAAATAAAACTTAAAGAAAATGGAGGAGAGTCAAGGTATGTTGACGCCAAGGCATCTACCTCGATTGTCTCCGAACTGGATAAGCTCTAACACTAGAAACCTCTATGCCCGAAAGTACCTGGATCTGCACATAAAGTGTATAGTCTAATATGAGTACGATCAACCAATGTACTCAATAAGTAACAAGACTAACCTTTGGGCTGAAAGCAGTGACGGGCTCAACCAATACAGTCCAAATACATAGTTTAACAGTACAGAAATGACAATAAATATGGCAATAATATCTTAGAGAAGCTCATAATCTGTTGGTACATAGTACAAGAATGTAGACATGCTTCCACGTTTAACAGCTAAGCTCAATACAGATAAAATGTGCCAAGTATGATTGATATGAGAAATGTTACATCTCTATATCTACATGCCAATGTGCATATCACATGTGATACAACATAATGAAAATCTCACGTACTCACACTCTCAGAGTACTCAATCTGACTATATCAATTCTTGCTCATCATACTTAGTCACTCAGCACTGCGCGATACATGCGCTCACTGCTAGTATGTCAGACTCTGGAGGGGCGGATCCTGCCCAAGCGCTAATAAATCCTTCTGTGGTGTGCAGCCCGGTCCTATCATGAATCAATAATACCTGTTGCGACGTACATCCCAATCCCATCATGAGTTAATAGTATCGGTTGTGGCGTGCAGCTCGGTCCCATCATGAGTCAATAGTACTCGATATGACGTGCATCCCGATCCCAAGAATATCACTCACAAACAGGCCTTCGGCCTCACTTAGTCATCAATCTCTCTAGTCTCTCGAGCTAACAACACTCATGCCAATCAGCCCAAATCAATAATATGATATAACAATAAATTATAACAGAAACTGAGATATGATATGCAATTATGAATGCAATTGAGTACATAAATGCAAATTAAGCAAATAACTCAACAGCAAAAGAATAAATGTTGTGGGTTCTAGCAGTACTAGCAGATAACCTAAACATAATTTTGTTTACCTTGAAAATGGTATTAACAATTATATTTGATTTGTGGTTCTAAAATATATGATTTATCTTAATACTAGTTGTTAAGTGAATAATGCTAAGTATAAATGAACAAGAAATGATAAGTAAACTCACATGGTCACAAGACTGAGGGCCTCGAGCTTACAATATAAGACCTCGGAGGCAACCTTTAAAAGTTGATAATGAGCAATAAACAAA